GTGTAACCAGAGGTGTGGTTCACCTTTTAATTAGACTGGCACACTCACAGAGGGCAGGGACGCACAGAAAACGGTTGTAGAAGACTCCAGTCACTTGAGAAGTCCTCCTTATCTGGTTTCCAGTTACAGGCTGTACTTAGGTCTGTTTCCCTGCAACTTACTGCTTGTATTCATGTTTATGGGGGGGCGGTGGCGGTTCGTGATGATAAAGGAACAGGACTGATCATAATAATCCCAACAGATTATCTGCACATCAAGACAGTGGTGTTCAAGTATTTTGACATCTTTAGGAATCATGATAGATATATGATAGTGGGGAGTGGTGGCGCAGAGGTTAGAGAAGGTGGGGCTGTGATCGGAAGGTTCCTGGTTCAACTCCCCGGACTGACAACATCAAAATGTGGGTGGCAAAGGTGAAGCACCCACACCTGACTCCACCTTCATTTGCCCAACTCTGGAACCTTGAGCAAGGCCTTTAACCCCCACCATCTGCTCCTCTGGGCGCCCTAGATGACAGCTCTCTGCTCCACACAGAGGGCTGTGGTAGCTCGGTGGCCTGTGGTCAGGAAGAACATCTGGTGTAAAAAATAATTGTCAAGTCTTTGTGCGAGTTAGTTCGCTGTGGCGATCCCTGAAGAAGAGAGCAGCTAAAAAAATAAGAATAAGGATGATGATGATAGGTGATTGTTGATTAGTTTTAACTCAAACATGTTTCAATTGTTGATTTTCAATATACACTGCCTGGCCCCAAAAAAATGTTGCCACAAAAAAAAAGGTCACACTAATATTTCGTTGGTCCACCTTTATCTTTGATGACATCATGCATTCACTGTGTCATTGTTTCAATGTCACAAGATCTGTTTCATCCAGTGCTGCATTCATTTTTCACCAAGATCTTTCATTGATGACTCGACACTCGTCATGATGGGTGCATCACTTCACCTGCCTCTCTTCTTACCCTGATGCACCATCACTCTGGAACAGGGTCAGTTTGGACTCATCAGATCACATGACCTTCTTCCATTGCTCCAGAGTCCGATCTTTATGCTCCCTAGCAAATTGAAGCCTTTTTTCCCCAGTTAGTCTCACTGGTTAGTGGTTTTCTTAAGGCTACACAGCTGTTCAGTCCATATCCCTTGAGTTCTCTTCACATTGTGTGTGTGGAAATGTTCTTACTTTCACTATTAAACACAGCCCTGAGTGCTGCTGTTGTTTTTCTTCCATTTGATTTCACCAAACGTTTAAGTGATCGCCGATCACGATCATTCAGGATTTTTTTCTGGCCACATTTCTTCCTCGAAGACGATGGGTCCCCACTATCCTTCCAGTTTTTAATAATGTGTTGGACAGTTCTTAACCCAATTATAGTTGTTTCTTCAATCTCCTTAGATGTTCTCTCTGCTTGATGCCAATGATTTGACCCTTCTCAAACAGACCGACATCTTTTCCACGACCACGACATGGTTGTTTAAGAAATGAGAAGCAACTCATTGCACCGGTTGGGGTTAAATAACTTGTTGCAGCTGAAAGATAATTGTCCATGCAGTAATTATCCAACAGGAGGCTCGTACATATTTGCTGAGTTAAATCCAGGTGGGAACTTTTTATTGGCACAGAGCTACTAAAGTTGAGTCTGTGTGACCAGTTTTCAGTTTCATTCAGTCTTCAAGTTATGGACAAATGAATCAAGATTGTGACTTTCATTTGCAGTTCTCTTTTTGCTTCTTTTTTTCCCATAATTTCTCTCCGCAGAAAACTTGACAGAATGACATCCAACTTTTTACATTCACTTTATGGAACTATGTAAACCACCGTCTTCCATAAACACAAGTCTGGTTGGATGACTTTTTCTGTAAAACATGTAAAAGCCTATCATTTTTTTTAAAGCATTAAATGAAAAGAACATGGAGATTTTATAAAAATGCAAAAACAAAATATAGACTTTATATTACTGCAATACTCTCAACAGGTAATTTGTTACAGTTCATAGTTCATTTGACCTGCAAAGGTCAAATATGCAGCCTTTGCTTTCATATTAATCTCTTTTCTGGTACAGGAATCAGCCAACAGAGAGATAAATACGTACTTGGCAGTCCATCTGAATAGATGTCTTTTTAAATTGACTTATTTGGACAAGACGTTATTTACCCGTCATCCTTTTTTGTTTAGTCCAAAATAAATACATGAGGAATTATAAAGAGAATAGAGCTCCAGCCAGGGAAGTGAAATTCAATCAGGAACAGTTCTTTCATTGTCAGGAGAGGTTTTTTTTGTTTCAAGAAATGTACTTTTGCGTACTTTTTTCCATTTTGAAGGCAAGTAAAACCACAGACCTTTTTTTTAATTTTTTTTTTTATAGTTTATATACTTACTTTTATGCACTTCCACAACGTTGAGAGAGATTTAAAACCAAACTGACGACAAACATTTATAGACCTGATGTGTAGCATCATGGAGCTTTTAAGATCACATTGTTACACCTTTAATATACGAGTTAGGACAATAAAATGACATTTCTATTTTTGAAGAATGAATTTTGTTTCACGCAGCATGTTCACTTGTTGACTGGAACACAAAGAAACATCAAAAAGTGACCAGGATTGTGCATGTACTAAAATAAAAGGCAAGAAATTAGCACAAATGTTTATTTTTCTAATAAATGAGTCCATTAAAGCAGTTCCAGTACCAGAACAGTACTGCATGCTACATCTCAACACACTTGTCTTCTCTTGCTTTGAATTCATTAACTTATGATGCTGTAGATGAACATATGCATGAGATATATTCATCAATTAAACGGATTCTTTCATTTTTCTGGACTGTATAAAACGTGCATTGAATCTAATAAAATGTGGACGGAAACGTTAATTATCTTTGACTCACCAAGACAGTGGGTCATTTATTAACATAATCAAGTTTAACACATCACACATTTACATTAATTGGCAAAATATGAAAAATAACAACCTGGCTAGTTTAGCAAACTGTACAATTTTGATTATCCACACGGCGGTGGATGAGAACTTTACACAGACATTTTTAAAATATCTGGAGTGATTTCTACTTGATAGAAGAATTTTAAAGATGGAAGATGAAGTTTAGAGGGAGAAAAAGATGGGTGAGGGGGTTTGTTTATGTCGGCACCAGAAACGACACTCTCCGGGCTCTTCTCAGCTTCTTCCCCAGTACACTTAGGTGATAGAATCAACTCTTTTACCTGGAGATGTCCCCACCGGTACGAAAGTCCATTCAACGCACCCTTTCAGCGTCTCCGTAGGAACAGCTGTGAATCGTCCGAAGTAGTGACGGTATTCCGTCCGACACAGGTTCACCTCACGAGCGGACTTCACATGAGTGGAGTCCGTCAGTGTTCCCCCAGAGGTGGAAGATGTTATAATCCCATAAGACTCGGAAGAGCTCTGTGGTCATGTCAGGATCTTCCTGTTTCCCCAGCACGGGAGCTGCAACGACTCTCGACACTCTCCGGACACTCTGAGACTCTGTGAGACTCTGGTTTAAACTAGGAAGTACCGACATTTTAAAGAGCTCTATTTCCGGGTCATCTGGGAGTTTCTGATCGGTCAATGTCGACCAGACAGGGGTGTGTTTTGTGACGTAAGAGGTTACTAGAAGTCAGAAAACAGCAAGAATGTTATGGAACAGATTGAAAATGTTTTTCAGACAGATGAGAGAAATGTTTGGACGGGTTGGCGGAAAACAGCTGCCAACAGGTGCCAGCTTCTCTATTTACGTCTGAGAGGATGTAAAAACAAGACAGCTCGTTCCAACAACTTGTCTGCGTTCGACTCCGACCTTGGACCAACTTACCCTGCTCATTCAAAGACAGAAAATCAGAAAATGCATAATTACTCTGTAACAGGCCTTAACATGAATTCTAACTTTGCATGAGGATTAAAAATCATTATACTGTTTCACAGTTAATAAAAATTGATTAGTTCACTGCAACATCTAAAATGGTTTGAACTAAAACACTTTGATTATCAACATTTGTAAAATAGTAATGATAATAGAAAAGAGAGTGTTCTTTCACTTGAATTCAAGAAAGAAAGTCTCAGGATGGGTCAACCTGTATTTCTGGATGCAAATCAATGAAATGACAGTTCCTGTCCCATATGGTGCCTAAGGTCAAGGTTTTGACCTTCAGGCTTAGTTCATTACAATGCCATCTTTTGTTTGGATGATTTTTCATCTGTAAAGTAGAAACCTTCTGTAAAACGTCTCCAGAGCCACTTCTGTGGTGGTGTAATGAGACGTTGCTGCAACAGTTCACTTACTGGTCTGTTGTCTTTATGAAAGACTAAGATGATTATTTGATTCTTGAGTACGTTTGGTAAAATATTGTAACAAGTTTAAAGTTTAAAAAGAAAAATCACGATTTCGTCCCGCAGACCCACACTCTGTCCAAATATCAAAGAACAAAAACTTGATAATTATTAGTTTGACTGACAAAGACCGTCCTCAGTTTAAACCGCAGAGATTCAAATGAGTTGTTTCATTAAAATTTCTGACGTTGTACTTGTGACATGATAAACGCTTCACTTTTTAATGACACAAAGGATTTTTACACCAGCTCCAGTGCTGCTCAGTGAGTCACGCCTCCATGGATGCAAATGGCCCCTGTTTTACACCCAACAACCCGCCCAGTGTGCTGGGGTGAATTCATACATTGTTTGCTTCGGTTGCTCCCAGCACAAAGACAGAGTGGGAGTATCAGGGTGTATTGTAGCCATGAATGATGTTGTGTTGACGCATTTCTTTGTATGTTTGAATGTAAAAGCCCTTAAAATTTTAATGAAAACTCCACGCTAATGTCCCTTCTGAATGGCTGAGAAAAAAATGAATCGTTTCATGTAAAGTCACAGATTTTCAGCCATGACAAGAGTCAGAAAGTGCTTCTGTTAAGTTTGAAAGCTTGTGATTTTGTTTACAGACGATGCGTGGCATTCGTGCACTGATGGAGCAGCTCTGACAGTGACGGGGGACTTACACACCGTGAGAACGTTTCTTCTCATAAGGCTGCAAAGATGTTTTCACTGGGTCAGGAGAACATCTCCACCTCTCCTTCATCCACCAAAGGACCAGTTGGTTATGGAGAGCTCATTGTGCTGGGGTAAGATCTCCTCTCCTGTGTTTGTAAAAGTATGGAGTCTACTTTTTAGTCATGAAGGTGCTGTACAAAGTACCCTTTAACAACATTATAAGCTAAAACACATTTCAGTAAACAAAAAAGCTGCAAAAGAGGCATTCAAAGATGTGAAACCAAGTAAACTATAATGAATCATAACAAATTACTTCAAAATCAAAACCATTACATTTAAATAAAACTAAAAGACAAATGTGTCTTAAGCTGTGTTTTAAAAATTTTATTTAATAAATGGTAAATGGACTGTACTTAAATAGCGCCTTTCTCTTACCAAGATACTCAAAGCTCTTTACAACACAATCTGTACCCTCATTTACCCATTCATGCAGAACTCTACTATGTACAGTGAGGAAAATAAGTATTTGAACACCTGTGAAAGTCAATGTTAATATTTGGTGCAGTAGTCTTTGTTTGTAGTTACAGAGGTCAAAGGTTTCCTGTAGTTTGTCACCAGGTTCACTGCAGCAGAGATTTTGCTCCATTCCTCCACAGATCTTCTCTAGATCAGCAGGTTTCTGGGCTGTCACTGAGAAACACGGAGTTTGAGCTCCCTCCAAAGATTTTCTATAGGGTTCAGGTCTGGAGACTGGCTAGGCCACTCCAGAAACTTGACATGCTTCTTACGGAGCCACTCCTTGGTTCTCCTGGCTGTGAGCTTCGAGTCATTGTCATGTTGGAAGACTCAGCCATGACCCATCTTCAATGCTCTGACTGAGGGGAAGGAGGTTGTTCCTCAAGATCTCACAATACATGGCCCCGGTCATCCTCTCCTTAACACAGTGCAGTCGTCCTGTCCCATGTGCAGGAAAACACCCCCAAAGCATGATGCTTCCACCCCCATGCTTCACAGTAGGGATGGTGTTCTTGGGATGGTATTCATCATTCTTCGTCCTCCAAACACGGCGAGTTGAATTAAGACAAAAGTTCTATTTTGGTCTCATGTGACCACAGAACTTTCTCCCATGACTCCTCTGGATCATCCAAATGGCCATGGTCAAACTTAAGACGGGTCTGGACGTGTGCTGATTTAACCAGGGGAACCTTCCATGCCGTGCATGATTTTAAACTATGACGTCTTAGTGTATTACCCACAGTAACCATGGAAACAGTGGTGCCAGCTCTCTTCAGGTCATGGACCAGCTCCTCCGTGTAGTTCTGGGCTGGTTCCTCACCTTTCTTAGGATCATTGATTCGCCACGAGGTGAGATCTTGCATGGAGCCCCAGTCCGAGGGAGATTGACAGTCGTGTTTAGCTTCTTCCATTTCCTAATAATTGCTCCAACAGTTGATCTTTTTTCACCAAGCTGCTTGACAGTTGTCCCGTAGACCTTTCCAGCCTTGTGGAGGTCTACAATTTTGTCTCTGGTGTCTTTGGACAGCTCTTTGGTCTTAGCCATGTTAGTAGTTGGAGTCTTACTGATTGTGTGGGGTGGACAGGTGTCTTCATGCAGCTAACCACCTCAAACAGGTGCTTCTAATTTAGAATAATCAGTGGAGGTGGACGTTATAGACGAGGACTAACAGGTCTTTGAGGACCAGAACTGTTGCTGATTGGCAGCTGTTCAAATATTTATTTACAGCAGTAACACAAATAAATTAGTTTAAAAAAATCATACATTGTGATTTCCGGATTTCTTTTTTTTATTTATTTTTTTAGATCATGTCTCTCACAGTGGACATGCACCCAAGATGAAAATTTCAGACCCCTCCATGATTTCTAAGTGGGAGAACTTGCAAAGTCACAGGGTGTTCAAATACTTATTTTCCTCACTGTATATAATATATTATCTTGGGGAGTGGTGGCTCAGAGGTTAGAGAAGGTGGGCCTGTGATCGGAAGCTCGCCGGTTCAAGCCCCGGTACCGACGACATCAAAAATGTTGATGGGGTAGGTGAAACACCCACACCTGTCCCCCCCTCATTCGCCCACTCTGGGCCCTTGAGCAAGGCCCTTAACCCCCTCCATCTGCTCCTCCGGGTGTCCTTCATAGCAGCTCTCTGCTCCACACAGAGGGCTGTGGTAGCTCAGTGTCTGTGGTTGCGTCAGGAAGAACATCCGGCGTAAAAATATCTGCCAAGTCTTTGTGTGACCTAGTTTGTTGTGGTGACCCCTAACGCAGGGAGCAGCCGAAAGAAGAGGGGGGTGGAAAAAAAAATAAAAAAAAAATAAAATATATATATATATATATATATATATATATATATATATATTTTTTTTATAGAGTAGGTGACACAGGCGTTGTAATCTCGAGCCAATCAGGACTGGCGTAATGAGATTCTTCTGAGCAATACTCAGAGGGGGTATATCCTATGCTCCTCCAAGAACCAAAGTTAAGTTAAGTAACAAAGTTTTTAGGCAGCTACAGATTGACCTGCCTGTTAAGTGATTGAAAAATTTAAAAAATGGATGTAATGCTATAGCTTCATTTATTAATTTATTTATTTTTTCTTTGCTAACACTCTAATAAAAAAATGCTGGTCACATAAATACTTGTGAAAACACTCGTTTATTCATGACGGGCAGGAACGAGTGCACTGAGCTCTGCTGGTTGGGTTTAGTTTGGCTGCTGCATCATAACGCAGCCTAAATGCAGTTAAACGTGTTGAGAAACTCCACCTCAGCATTTGACTTCCTGACTGGAAGCCATTCACTGCAGACACAAGTGTGAGCCTGTGGTTCAAGAACGTTTTAACGATGTCAGGAACGTTGTGGCCGCTGCGGTTTCAGACCTTTTGTTTGCTTTTGCATCTTAGTGGCCACATAATCATAGAAATAAACAGTTTGTGCAACTGGTACTTAACTGGTTCTAAGGGTTTATTTTAAAGAGCCGTATAGTTTGTGACAACACTAGTTGGATTTTTGGTCATACTGTGGAGCCAGAGTTAAATGGGGTGGTCTGACCTTGTCTAAGAAAGGAGGTGGGTGTTTCTTTATCTGGATTTCAGGAAGTGTGCATTATCCAGTGAAAGAATGGCTCGACTTTTAACTGAACTCATATTTCCATGACCTGCAGCAGTCTGGCTCTAAAGATAACCTTCAACCGGACTGACCTTTTAATTAAACTCTCTGTAACAATCACCTTTCTGGATTGTCTTTCCAAAAGCCTCTGAGTTCATGATGACAATGAAACTCTTTATGGTGGCTCACAAACAAATTAAAGAGCTGCTTAATGGGTTTTCTGAAGGTTTAAGGAGATCATAATTTAACTACATAAACACAACATCCTGCTTTTAAATCTGGACAGCAACTGTTGCTTTCTGTCTTCCACAAAGCTTCCTGTCTCCAACAAAACAAAAGCTGTGGACAAAATGTGCTGTTTTCCTGCACCATAGATAAAGGCTCAAGCTGGGTTTGGACAAGACACACACACATGCACACACACACAAAGGAAGCAGCAGAGGTTTAGCTGGTCAGGATCCATCAAGAATTAAATAAAATCTCTTATCACAGATCCAAAACTACAGGAGTAGTTCACTTGTAGTTCATTTTGTAAATACAATCAGCACATCATTGTTCTGCTGCTAGTCACTGTAACCGACTGTGACGTTACCAGGAATTATCATATTTCTACTCAATACTAGTTTATATGCCATTGTTAACAAACTCCCCCTGCAGACTCAGGTCTAGTGCACTGAATTTAAAATTAGTTTAATGTGATTAGAGAAAAAAAGGGGGAAACGCTCAAGATTTACACTTTTTTTTTTTTTTTAATTTTTTTGTTGTAAATGGTAAATGGACTGTACTTATACAGCGCCTTTCTATCTTATTGAGATACTCAAAGCTCTTTACAACAATCTGTGTCCTCATTTACCCATTCATACAGCTCTATACTAGATCTGTACAAAGATAATTGAACAAATCATTCTAAAGAGACTAACCAGAGCTTTATCACATTCATACACTGATGGGACACACATCAGAGGCAACGAGTGGTTCAGTGTTTTGCCCAGGGACACTGTGGCATGCGACTGCTGGTGGATTCGAACCCCTAACTCTTGCATTGGAGGACGACTGCTCCAACCACTCAGCCACAGCCGCCCACGTTGTCAATAAAATATGACCTTATTTTTGTGACGTTATGTTTGTATATCGCTTTGCTGGACTGTGATGTTTCAGAATAAAGAAGGAGCTGCATTTTGATTGAACAATAAAAAAGGTGGCTGTATCAGCTTTTGATTATAATTTTTTTTCAATCATTTCAAGTTATATCTTGTTTGAAGACCATAACAAAGTTCAATATATTCATGTTGTTGATGTTCAGGGGTCATCACAGTCAGAAAGCTCACATGAAAGATTTGGCAATTATTTTATGCTGCGTGTGCTTCCTGATGCAACCTGGGCTCAAACCTGCAGCCTCAGGATTACAGGACTGCAGCGCTGATCACCGAGCCACAGCAGCCCCCTAATTCATCATATTTATAACAGCTCAATATCATCACTGTATTACTGGCTGCCGTGAGTCTAGTTCAAACAACAACAGTCCAGTTTAGTCTCTACAG